TGTCTCAACTTACGCCAGTAATATTTTGATCATTCATAATGCCATACCCTACCCTAGGGGTTCATGATTTGAACAAACTTTAATCTACACTATGTCATGAAGCTATATATTTAAATTTTATCTTTTCTGGTCTTTTTTAAATGACCTGGCAAAGAATTTGATTCTTTCTTAATTATCTTTTGGAAGAGGGTGTGCCCCTTCATTTGAACAATTTACATTTCCTTTTCATAAGATATTCTGTGCTAAATATAGTTAAAATGACCAAGATAAAAAAATGTGAAAAGTTTAAGAAAAGAGTAACAATTAAGTTAACACCAACAAACAAAACACAAATCTCAATCAAAAAAGCTCATCTGAGCATTTGGCTCAAATACGGTAAGCTATACTAAACATCATTAGTGTTTCTTTTTTTTTCTTTTTGTTTGTTTGTTTTTGTTTTGTTGAAAATTGCCATGTGATTTAATTTCCCAATCAGTGATAAAATGAAATTAAATTCCCAATTTTGATGACCTATCTAGGACCCATTTCCAAATTGCTGTGGAAAATTCTCAAGTTAATCAAACAACTTGCCAGAAACATACACTCTTTTGAACTACCAGGTAATATTTTATGTTTCTATATTTGGGTCATTTTCAAAAAAAGTCTATTTTTTGAATCACATATTTTGAAAAATGAAAGTGGTTTTACTATGATTTTTAAAACTTTATTTGAATAATATAGTAATAAACTACTAAAATCCACTGCATTGCATAAAAGAAAATATTTCTTTTAAAAAATATTGACATTTTATCTTAGTCATTTAAACTTTAATGTCCTTCCTGTTACTTTCATAAAAAGAGCTGTAAAACTCTATTTCAAAATTTTCATCAAATTATCTTTTGTATACCGTTAATAAATGAAAAAATTATCACTGAATGCCAAGATGTTTGACATTCATCTAATATATGAGCGTTTAAAAGCATGTCAAACTACCATATACCAAACAGAAGCAAAATCTACGGGTTTTTCTTCATGAAAAGCCTTATTGCGGAATGTTTATATGCTATAGTTGAAAAAAAAAACATTCTTGTACATTATTTTTGTGATTAGAATAAACAGTTACAGAAAGTTATTTAAAGAGGTGCTCTGCCAAAGCAATTTAAACTAGGAAAATATACTGGTAACAGTAAGGACTCGGGTAACAGGAAGGACAAAACAGTAACAGGATGGACAAAACAGTGTAACAGGATGGACAATGAAATCTAAATTTAAATAAAAATTGACTTTTTTTTAACTTTATTGGTTAGGAAAAGAGAAATAAATGTAGAATAAAAAAATGATTTTGTCAAATCTGGCAAATTTGAGACAATAAAAGACATTTATGTCCATCCTGTTACGAAATTTAATTCTAAAGTGCTATTAAAATATTTATCAGTTCAATTTTTGTTTATTAAAGGTACTCTATGCTGTTGCAAAACTAAGAATTTTTCATAATTTTAAGAAAAACAAATGATGAAACTTAAATAGGTATATAAATACCAGGATAATTTGTCCCTCCTGTTACAATTTTTGTCCATTCTGTTACAAGAGTGCATGTTTAAGTTATAATGGCACAATCTGAAGCACTAACTTATTTCAATATGATTTACGAAGTTTTTTAACATGTGTTATTAAACTTATATTACTTAGAAAAATAAAAGTAATTGTTTTTATTGTTAAAACTCAAGATATGAAGTCCAGTTTTCCTTACTGTTACCATATTAATGGTAACAGGAATGACAGTAACAGGATGGACATTTCTCATATAAATCACCGATTATTTAGTATAACGTACTCTTTTTGCATCATCAAGACATTCAAACAGTTTCTTTGTAACTTAGTAAATCTGATTGTTTTAGCAGAATAAACAATTTAAAGAGTATTTGCATATTATGAAGGTAACAGATAGGACATATTTTCATTATACTCTACCAATAAGACAAACTTATCGACCTTTGAACCCTTTCTTTACTCACTTTCAAATTCATGGCGCTCATAAACTTGAGACAACAGAAAATGATGATATATTGTGGATCATGAAAACAGTTCCTAGGAAAGTGAGATATCTTTTATTTTAACATTTTCTTTCTGATAACAGGAATGACATAAACTGGTGGGACATGTCACTTCCTGAATGTTAAATGCACGATACTAGTATTTAGTGGGCGGCATAAGTAAAACAATCATATTAAATTAATCTGTAAATGAATTCAATTAAAATGAGGTGCAAAATTTGTACATATCTTCACAAGGTAATATTTTCCCTATCATTTAAATAAGCGCGTTATAAAATTTTTGTTAATGTGACATGGTTTTACTGTTAAATTTTACTCGGAATGCAGAGAATATTTTTTATAAAACACCTGGGAGATGATCATAAAATTACTTATAAGCTATATGACCATGTATATTAACCAACGGGAAAAAAAATTTCACTCTAAAAAATGTTTTCCTATTATTCTGATCAAAAGACAAAAAAGTGGACTTTTTTTGAAAATGGCCCATTTAGAAAAACAGTGAAAAAAGACAGTTTTCTTCTAAAGAAAGCTAAAAGAAAATTATACAGGCAAAAGGAGGATGGGTCTCTAAATCCATGTTTTTCTTTTAAAGTCAATTTTTTTCTGGAATTGCTTTAGTTACTCTATATCTTTATATATATTAACAGATTTCAGACTGAAACTGATTCAATATTTACTTTCCAATCATTTCTAAACTAGAATTTAGGATTCTGTTACAGGAGGGACATGTCTATTGCAAAGTACTGTCTTTCCTGTTACGAGCCTGTCTTTCCTGTTACATGCACTATAATTATGAAAATATGTGGTTTATATGTAAATGTAACAAAATTGGATCTACATGCATGCATAAAATGCCCTTTCTTATCAATTGTGTGAATGTGGTTTTTTATACTAACTTTTACGACTGTAAAATGGTGAAAATATTGACCAAAATGATGTTCAGATTTGAAAATTGTCTCTAAAATAATTGAAAAAATTATTTTGCTCCTGTTTCATTGAAAAATTATAACTGATTTTTTATTTGCCATGCTTTCACAAACTAGGCTTAACTAATTTTATAATTATTTTTCCACCTCTTAATAGTAAAACTTGCATCATTGTGTCTGTAACAGGAAGGACAAAATTTTAGGAGAACCAGTATTTTGATTTTTTCTTACTCTGAATTCAAATAATTTCCAGGTGGGAGTTTAGTGTTTTTGTGTTCTTCATATATGTGTTTTATAGTAACAATAAAAAAAAATTAATTCTAAATGCAAGAAATTTGTTGATTTTTCCAATATTTTTTTCTGCGGTTTTTGATAATGACTCAAGTATGTTGTATTACGGTGGACCCAGAATATTTGATAAACAAAGTTTGCTCAGATCACAGGGCTTCTTATAAATTTTGTACTCAATCTGTATGTTATATATCTTTTCATGGCTTGAGAATTAAAAGGAAAATACCCCCCCCCCCCCCGTTTTATGTTTGAACTCAGAGCATAAAGTTTGTACTATATAGCTGTGCTCGCTACAACGGTCACACCGTCAATATACTACTGTAGGCCTATACATGTATGTTAGCCAATGTTCTTGATATTGTAACAACCAGCCTTCCACATATATTTGTGTTTCACGTGAAACGACCTTTATCAAAATCGTTGTGTATGACTCAGCCTAAGAATCAAACATTTGGCTAGTGATTAGTTCAATATAAATAACTCTTAGTTAATAAAAAAAGTAAAAGCTTACTTTAATATTTATATGAATATTATGGACAGTTTAATCTTCATGCCTTACTGGAAGCAGCTTCAGAGTTATATATTCTAAACAAAACTGTATACGTACAGCGCTGATGTTTTCGGTAAAATCTCGCCAACTTTCTATTCCTTTTCTTTTTTTTCCTTTCCTCTTTTTCTTGATTAATATTTCTATTTTTATTTGGGGGGGGTATATATTGTTTTGGTCCCCCCAAAAAAGGGGGGTCCGGACCCCCCCTCTGGATCCGCCCTTGGACCTCCGAAACATTAGAGGTGGAATCAGGTGCCATGGAGGAAAATCCTATTTCGTGGGGGGGAGGGGGGGTTAACTACCAATTCCTTTCAATATCCATTTTTTTAACCTTACACTACTGTTTCCCCTTCGTATTAATTTACTTAAGTGGCAAGTAGGGAGGGGGGGGGGGCAAACAGCCTTTCAATAGATATTTCCAATTGTAAAAGTAGTGTTGGCAAAAAAAGTAGGTGGGCCACCCCCCCACCCCCACCCCCCATGTTGCTACGTGCCTGCTTAAAATAGCCTTTTTCGAAATTTGCTGCAGCCGGGCGCATAGTTTCACAAACACATCTTATCTTCTTCAGTTGTGTGCATAAGTTCATCTTATTTTTGATATGATATTTACATCAAAATGTGCTGGACAGAATCATGTCTGAATTATTTAAAACTAACCCTTTATAAAAATTCCTACTCTTAGATACTACAAGTGATTTTTTATTACCTGTGTTTACGATATGACCCCGCCTCCCCATTTCCACTCCCCGGTTCATAAGGCCTGACCTGAATGCTGATCTTCCTGAAGCATCCCTCTGTATTGGATCAGTGAATTGATGTATAAAGTAAATCCCAGGGGTTACTGAATTTCCTTAAATGTATATGTATATTTGTTTGTAGCACAGGGGCCTGTAACATACTGTTTTTGATTTTACGTACTCACTAATACCTTTTTTGTATATATATACCGGTATAGTGATTACGTAAAATAAAAACAGTATGTTACTGACCCCTGTGGTTTGTAGCTGCAGAACTGTAGCTCTCCGAAAAAATCATATTGATCGACCGGTCAGTATATTTTTCGGAGAGCTACAGTTCTGCAGCTAATTTGTTTGAGTATTATATCCCGGGAGTTACTGAATTTCCTGATAAGTACATGTATATCTGTCTGACTATTATGTAAAACAATGTACCTTTTTAAATTAATTATTTTGTTTATTGAAATATATGTATCTGTAACATAAATGTAACATAATGTTTTTTTTTTTGTTTTTTTTTGTTTTTTTTACACATTTTAAACAATATTAATAAGAGGTCAGACATACAATTTTGAGCCTTATATAAAGCATTGAATATACAATGACATACCTTATACATGTAAGTTAGACACCAAGATAATCATGGTTTAATAGCATGTTGCTGATTCTACTCTAATCATATGAATGTCATTGTTTATTTATATTTAATGAAACATAAAAAAAGGACAATAAAATTAAAAATAATAAATTTAAAAAAATTAAAAAGTTGGATGAAAATTGAAACAAATAAAGCCTATTTTTGATGATGGAAAAAGTATGATAAGAAAAGGAGAAAAATATTTCAACTAAAAATGTCAATCTAATTAAAATTAGATGTATGATCCGCTCGCATACTCGCTACACCAACATCTTACAACATCCCATAAAGGGTCACGTCAGAGTTCAAAATCTATCAACCAATCAAATTGTCGCTGCAAAATCATCGCATATTTGTTGACGTAATCGAATCTCATAAGTCTAGAGGTGTTTTGAATTTGACCTTTGACTTGACCCTCTATGGGATGTTGTTAGATGTTAGTGTAGCAAGTATGCGAGCGGATCTAACATCTAATTTTAATTAGATTGCTAAAAATGTAAAACAAATTGTTTTAAAAATCCCAGCTTTAGATATGTTACATGTAGACAATGAACAAAAATCTTTATAGTTACTTGGTAGTGGTTTTGTGGGCAATTTGTTTAAGAAAGTACACAAATACATATTTTCACCGGTGAAGAATTTATCTTATATTATCTTTCACACATACAACATATACACTGACTTAAAATCAGCATTATAACAAACATGTCTTGATTTTTTAGAAATAAATATTCTGTGGCCTATGTAAATATTACACTGCTACATAACGTCACTTGCAGTACTTCTCCGTACTTGATTTTCATTACTTGTCTATTACTCCTTTGAGTAACAGATTGTCATTTGTATCTGTACACAATCCCTGGGTTCACTCAGTCACTGCAGATATTTAATTTTCTTCACTTGTGCTTTAAATAATTGAGCAACAAACAGATTGTCATTTGTATCTATACACAGTCCCTGGGGATAACTCAGTCCACAGTCTATGTAACGGAGGAACTGTCCATCCTGGTCTATGATGTGGACACAGTGATTGTTATCATCATCTGTAAGGATGTGACTCTGACTGTCTGTGGTGATTCGTAGTGGACTGAATGGTTTGTTCATTGGAGCAGGAGTATGTCCAGTGTACCTGAATTTGATCAACAAAATATAGAATTTTTTTTAAGTTTATTTATATTCTTTTTAAAGAATTTGGTAGAATTTAAAAAGAAATATAATTTTGTATACTGTATATCATGTATATATAGAATTGTACAGTCTTTGACACTAATAATTGATATGTTACTGAAAATAATTGTACTTTATTATGGACAATTTAATATAATTCTGTATAATGAGAAGACTATCTGAGTTGTAGAACATTTTTGTCTTATCCTTTTGACTTTGTCAGTAAAATATGTTCAATTCAAATGTACCTGAATCTCAGTTTCCCGGCCTGATTGACCACCACTACTGCTCTAGCTCCATAGTCAGACACACAGATATCCAGGTTCCTGTTCTCTGTTATGTATCTGTAATAACCATCAGATGAATAGAGAGGTTTACCTTTATAATCAAACTGAATGGTTTGTTTCTCTGTGGAGCCAGAGTAACGGACAACTTTTGTTTGTTTGCCATCATCACTGTACATGATAACCAGGAGGTCACCAGAGGAGGTACTACAGACACCACGAGGTCTCCAGGTCCGTAGTCTGATCACCTTCTTTATCTTCTCATTCTTCACAATGTTCACAGTTCTATCACCATAGTAATCAGTATGAACTAGATCTCCACTCTTTGTCACTGCTATGTCATATGGCATGTTCCCTGACTTGGTTGTGATTGACTTGAGAAGTGATCCCTGATTGATACTGTAGAGTTTCATGATGCTGTCATTTCCACTTGTCCAGATTTTTTCATCACTCAGACAGGCCACATTGTAAAGTCTATCATACCCAGTGTCTATGGTGGTGACAGTCTCTGGTTGATCAAGCAGCTGTTTGACTGGAGGAGAGGATCCAGCTTCTGGTGATTTCTGTGTTGTCTTCATGCTGTAGCCATGTTTATCTGATTTTATCGAAATTGTTTTCAAACTAAACAGTTGGTCTGCTTGTAATTTCTTTAGGATGAATTTAGGAATGGTGACTGTAATTTTTCTTGGAAGGTTTGTATACCTATCTAGGGTGGAAGGCAGACTGAATAGGCTTGAAATGTCTGTAGATTCTAGAACACTATCAACTGAATTGATTTCATCCTTGATGTCAGACATTGTCTTGTTTATTTCATCCAGATGTTTCTGTAGAGTTTGTAACTGGGTGTTTTTCATCTCATCAACTTCAGCTTTAAGTTTCTTGACAAGTTTGTCAATTTCTCTGTGCCAGTCCTCTCCATGTTTTGTTATGGCTGTTGAGAGATCTCCATATTCCTTTTCTAACTGACTCATTCTAATTTGTACATCAGAGGCAATGTCCTGGTAGTTTGGATAAATCTTTTCTTTCAGTTCAGTTTGTTTTTTGACGAGTTTATCCCTTTTCTTGTCTCGAATTTCCAGGACCCTTGCTAGTTTATGTCCAAGATGTTGATCCGAGGCAAGACAAATACTACAGATAGAAACATCACAATGGGTACAGAACATGTCACACATTTCTTCTTCATGAGACGTGCATCTGGGGTGAATAAGAGTAGACTTTTTGTCCTTAAAGTGAACAATTTTATGAGGTTTTGATAGATCAGCAGAAAAGTGTTCTCCCACACAGGCCTTACACAGGTTGACAAGACATGTATCACAGTGCATCTGTACCACAGCGGTCTCACACAGGTCACATCGCATCACGTCCTGGGCACTGGTACGGGGGTCCATGACTCAATCTTCAAAGAAAAATGTCAAGTTTTCAATTTACTGTTAATAGCCATCCATGTTCATATTTTGAATGTCTTAAAGTAGATAACATGGATAAATAAATTCTGCACACAACGTACCATATCATTCTTGAATGAAAATCATGTAATTTTGAGGCCTAATTATATACCATGATATAGCACAAGCGAATTTAAGGGAGGGGGTGGGGGGTTAGGGGGTTTTGTGTCCAAAATATACATACAATATAATAAATCTAGTAAACCACTGCATAGTTGACTTCACTGATGGCCACATGTATGTGTTGAAAAAAACAAAGACATTTACACTATATACAAAGATTGGGATGCAGAGAAATTGAATATCAAATTTTGTAAATTTATTCTTGGTGTTGGTAAAAAGAGTACAAATATTGCTATTCTATCTGAACTTGGCAGATTACCCATGTTTTGTTCAATCATTATTAGTTTACTATCTTATTGGCATAGATTAGAAAATATGTCGGAATCATCTTTACTATATTGTGCATATAAAGAGTGCAAAAATCTTAGTCAGTCAACATCAATAACTGGTATGACACTGTCAAATTTTTATGTAACAAATTAGACCTTAATTTACCCATTTGTAAACAGTTAAATATGACCACATTTAAAGGACTACTGAAAAAACTTATCAAAAAGCATTTTTACCAATATTGGCTTAAAATACATGATGAGGGTCAAATACATGGCAAACTTGATAAATATTTTTTGTTGAAGAATACTTTTGCCATTGAGAAATATTTATTGTCTTTAAAGTCTTTTGAACAGAGGAAAATACTGTGTAAATTCAGAATAAGTGCACATGAACTAAGAATTGAACGTGGTAGATATGAATATACAAAAGATATTAATGGGAAAAAGATCCCTCTAGAAAGAAGTCAACGGACATGTACTCTTTGTAATTCAAATTGTATTGAAGATGAAATCCATTTCCTTACAAATTGTTCTTTATATAATGAAGAAAGGAAAGTTTTATTTAACTTTTTATAGTGACAATTATAAAAATTTCAACACTCTGTCCAACAATCAAAAATTTTTATGGATTATGGCAAATGAAGATCACAGTATATTATTTAAACTATGTGACTTTTTAACCAAATCTTTTATGAAGAGAAAAAATCTCATTAAAAAATGATAAAAGTAAAAATGTTAGGATATACATAGTTATTCAATTCATGTGTACTTCAGTCTCTACTACTAATGTACTTTGCACTTTTTATTTTTTTATCTATCTTCTTATAAACATCATAAACTCAAAAATGCATGTACATTAATTAATTGCCATTAGGCCTAAATACTAATGCCTCATACCACAATATGATATATATGTATACATTGAAAAGTCATATGTCTATTTTATATACATGTTTGTATAGGTTAATCATGTATGTCTAAATGTTTTGTTTTGTTTCCTTTTTTCTGTCAACTATATATTAGGCCTTTCTCTTGTAAGTTTGTACTCTTTATGCTCATTTGGGCACTGAATTAGTAATAAAACATATCTTATCTTATCTTATCTTATCTTATCTGTATGCATGTTTGTATTTTATTATTTGTCTTTATGTATGTAACATGGTTGTATGCCAACATGTTTGGTGAATCAGGGACCTAAATATTAACTATAGTAAATTAAGGTTCCTAGGTGAATCAATGAATAAAGAAATTAAAAATAATTTTTTTTTTTTTGTCGCTGTGAGTCCCTATCCCGAGTATTCCTGACGCTAAAACTGCTATTTGAAGTATAATTTATAAAATAATAAATCTTTAAAACAACAACAAAACCGATTTATTAATCCTTTATATCTTTTCTGGTCACAAAAGCCCCCCCCCCCCCCCCCCACACACACACACAGTGACACACTACATCCACCAGGTTTGAGGTTTGAGTGGTGAGCTGGGTTGAACAGGTGAATATAAGATTAAATGGCACCATGACTCACTTACATTAATTATACTGAATACACTAGTACTGTGACATATGTAACATGGTTGTATGCCAACATGTTTGGTGAATCAGGGACCTAAATATTAACTATAGTAAATTAAGGTTCCTAGGTGAATCAATGAATAAAGAAATTAAAAATAATTTTTTTTTTTTTGTCGCTGTGAGTCCCTATCCCCCAGTATTCCTGACGCTAAAACTGCTATTTGAAGTATAATTTATAAAATAATAAATCTTTAAAACAACAACAAAACCGATTTATTAATCCTTTATATCTTTTCTGGTCACAAAAGCCCCCCCCCCCCCCCAATAACCACACACACACACAGTGACACACTACATCCACCAGGTTTGAGGTTTGAGTGGTGAGCTGGGTTGAACAGGTGAATATAAGATTAAATGGCACCATGACTCACTTACATTAATTATACTGAATACACTAGTACTGTGACATATACAGATATGGAATTTAATAATTCGTTCTACTTCTAAACCGAAGACAAACCTTGATGTGCAGTAATGGCGGCCGCGCTGACGCTTCGCTGGTCTCTGCATTTGTACGGAAACCTATTTTGACACTTTTTACAATCTAGCGAAGCGAACGATAACTCTGGGTAGAGATTGACTTTTTTTTTTTTAGGAATATCCGATCCTCAGCCAGGTAGGATAGCTCCAAAAACTACCCATGATATTGAATTGAAATGCATCAAAATGAAGCTTGAAAAATAAAAAAAATAAATTTCACGCAACAGTTTTCATTTTGTTCATCTTTATAAGAGTTAGGCCTAATGTTTTGCGACGTCTTAGAAAAGTCTCATAAAAGTTGACATTTTTACTCTATTAGAGGAAAAACAAGATGTGTTTGTGAAACACTATGCGCCCGGTGGCAACAAAAATCGAAAAAGCTATTTCTAGCATACTAGCATAGGTAACAGTCAAGGTCATAAGGTCATTGACCTTGGTGTCATTTGAAAGACCTTGATTAGTGAAGTATGCAAACCAAGTATGAAGTCTCTCTCTTTAATGGTTCAAAAGTTATAGTGAAAGGTACGAAAAAGCTATTTTTAGCATGTAGGTCACAGTCAAGGTCACCAGGTCATTGACCTTGGTGTCGTTTGAAAGAACTTTATTTGTGTAGTACGCATACTAAACATGAAGTCTCTATCTTTCATGGTTCAAAATTTATGGCGAAGGTTAAAGTTTGCAGACAGAAAAGCTATTTTTAGCATATAGGTCACATTCAAGGTCACAAGGTCATTAATATTGGTGTCATTTGAAAGCACCTAATTAGTTAAGTATGCATACCAAATATGAAGTTTCTACCTTTCATGGTTCAAAAGTTATGGCAAAGGTTAAAGTTTGGGGACAAACAAACAAACAAACAAACAGACAGACAGACAGACAGGACAAAAACAATATACGCCTCAGATCTATTGATCCGGGCGCATAAAAATAATGCAGTTTTTAGAGAAATAAGATTTTCTTGAATCCAGCCTTAGATACCAATGTTTATTAGCATGATATGAAATAATATGTGATTTGTGGTGTTTTGTAGTGATAGCAAACGCCTTTTACACTATGTTTTATAGAAAACATGATGGAAACAGAAGAAAAAAATGCCAAATAAGTATAAAAATCATGATAATTTTTCTGAATGCCTAGAAACCTATCGTTTTTTAACTTAAAATATATTTATTGATTAATTTGCCATTAGAAAATGCAATGCTGATATTCCAATTTGCTTTTTCCGCAAAAAAATTGAGGATTGTATTAAAAAGTTCCTCAAAGTTAAAGAAATATTCTCCTTTCTCCAAACAAACAAAATACGATATTTAGTTATTTTATAGGCCTTTTCCGCTCTTTCATAGATTGATCCAAATACTACTAATATATAACACTGGGGCTTCCGTACAACATAGACCTAGATATTATGTTAATTACTTAATTTAGATAATTTTAATTTAGATTATATTAATTTGGACTATGATATGACGTTAATTTTGAATCACAACTTTACAATTTAATTCAGTGTGTGTGTGTGTGTGTGTGTGGGGGGGGGGGCACAGTCATACATTTTCAGTTGGGGGAGGGGGCACTATCAACTACCAAAATTCATTGACAAGCAAATATATATATTGACAGACCGGAGAGCTACAGTTCCACCTTTAGAAAAACTGTATATTTATTGCTCACAAAAAGTTGTGCTTGGTTCTGGATTAATTCTTCCAAATTCTTACCTCAAGAGGAAAAAAAAAGAAAGAAAAAAAAAGAAGAAAAAAACAAAGGAATAAAAAAAAACATACAAAAAAAGAAAGAAAAAAAAACTTTTAAAATATCCTTACCCTGTTATAAGGTTTTCTTGTTGTTGACATCTGCACGAAGCTCATTCGACCGAATTATCTTGCAAACTAACATGACAGAATATGGGTTAAATAGAAGAAATTTTCGATGATCTCAATTTTAGTTACGAAGCGCTATTAACAACAATTATAAGGAATGTTTTATCGTGGAAACAACCAAAGAATACGTTAGAAACACATGCTTAGTACTATTCTGAGGAACTGTTTTAAAATCATGGAGAAATAAATCGAGAAACAGCGCACTTTTTCGTGCGCAATAAATACACTTTGTCAGTTTTTTCAATGGGTAGCACTGTACATAGCTCTCCGGTCTGTCAATTACGAGTATAATATTCGGAGAGCTACTACGTTTTTATTAAGGGCACACAAACATGTAATAGCTAAATTTTCTATAAACGTCGCGCATAGTATTGGGGTTTGAAATTGCGTAACTTGTAACACTCTAAACGACGGGCGGTGGTATTTTTGGTCATTTTATCGTTTTGGCTACATGGAATTTTCTGGCAATTTATACCAAGCTTCTATAACTTCCTGTGATGATGCCACACACAATTCATTAAGAAATTTCTAATTTACGGACTTTTCCGACTGTTCGTAAAACAGGAAGCGGTCCGTAACATGCCATAATTTTGACAAGTTACAAGAAAAGGTAGAATGTTTGATAAAGATGTTTTCCCATATAACAGGTTCCTTTTGTAAAACTAAGTTGATAAATGAAATGTGCAAATCAAGAAGAAGTCAAATATTGCTTCAAAAAATTATTAGAAAGCATTAGGAGAGATTTATAGAGCGATTTTGATGTCTAGTCGGTTTTGTTACTATAACACAAATATGCGTATTATGTTATTTAAACGGGCGTATAACACCAATGTGAGCTGTATTCTCTATTTGCTGGGGAAACTTCTAACAGATAAAATATTATTTTTAAAATGTGCAAATTAAAAAAATTTTGTTTCTAAAGAACCTTTAAAAAGTAAGACATTTTTAAGAAAACGGGAGCAAAAATTGAATGTCTAGTCGGATTTGTTACGCCTTGAATTTTTGACGTTTTTACGACTATCGTTCGATCATATCGACTATCGACTAAAATTTCTTTAGTCGATTATTCGTTAAACATGTGTTTTATCAAAGTAATTTTGAATTCAAGGCAATAAACTTATATATTTGCCCATTTCATTTATATACAAATCATTATTTTTAAATGAAAAATTAAGGGTATGGTATAACTGTTCATAGGAAATTATTTGTACGTTGAATTCAAGGCAATAAACTTATATATTTGCCCATTTCATTTATATACAAATCATTATTTTTAAATGAAAAATTAAGGGTATGGTATAACTGTTCATAGGAAATTATTTGTACGTCGGCAAACATGTCTACTCAAAAAAACGTTAATTACTAGTAGACAGCTATTACAAAATCGTAAATACAAATAAATCGGGGTCAGTTGATAGAGAGTACTTAAACCGTGCTTTCTTTTTCTGATACTTATTTCATACAATCATTGATTGTTTGTACAAAATATCATAATTTAAATTTATCCCAAACTCTCGCTCTCTTTTTGTTTTTATAACAAACGCGCTTTAATTGTTTACCTGCCAAAGATCATTGACAGGCATGTAATAATTGGCTTCAATTATGAGGTACATGTACTGTCGTTATGTAAAGAAAGAACAAATACGGGGGTTTGGTATCCTGCATTTAGATAAAACTTGTAACTAATATATTAATATTAATATTAAATACAATGGATATATATTGATGTATGATTTTTATTACACTACGTACATGTTTACAATTACCAAATTCGTTGAATAGTATATCGGTGATAGCGTCAAGGTTAAATATTGTAAATTAGTCTGTAAAGGATAAACAGTAAAACTGGTAAGAAAAAATAATTAAAATTAAACGAATATTCGACTATCGTTCGACTAAAGCATCCGACTATTCGACTAAGCTGTCCGAGTGAAATTGACATCCCTAAAAAATGTATATACTAGTAGTACCAATAAAAAAATTCTAAAATGGTACTTGAAACAAAGTTTCTTTAAAATTGTCTGTATTCAATTTTGTAAGGTTTAAAAAATGAATAGGATTTTTGTTGGTCAAAAATTACAAAACAATGTGAAAAGTATGAGCCAAAGAAAATAGAACTGAATGTTTCTTTCAGGTGTGTAATTCGATCGAATTTATATTACAGAAAAGTAAACTATTAGTAAAAATAGGGTTACTTACATGGAAAGTCATCTCTGTTATTAGAGAGTAAGTTCCCTTTAAGTCTGAGTGAGATAGAGAGAGAGAGAGAGAGAGAGAGAGAGAGAGAGAGAGAGAGAGAGAGAGAGAGAGAGAGAGAGAGAGAGAGAATTCCTCCCCGATGTGGCATTACAGATCAAGTTATTAACAGAGGACACGTGTCTTTATCTTCATATCTATTACTCGTCGTAGATGTACATTGTAATAGAATATGTGTAAATAATTCAACTGTCTCAATGCATGCAGACGAAAGACAAATGCTTTCTATACACATTAAAGGTGTGCTACTTCTCAGTATATATAAATCTTCAAAGTTACTCAAGTTTAGAATGCATGCAGATTTCGAATTTTGAGGAGTTTCCAAATATCTTCAAGCCCTCTGGTAAAAGTATTTCTCGATAGGAAAGAGACGAATCCATTTTATTGGTAAGTGCCTAATTATATCATTCCAACTATTAATCCCTTTTCATTTTAAAACTGTTTAATTAAGATAATCCATTCCAGTACACTTTGCATAAAAAGTTGCAAAGCAAACAATATTGAGATTAAAATCCTCGCCGTAAAACACACGGTGTTCTGTCAGCGCTATAGGGTTAGCGGTTCATTCGTCTTTTCTTAGTCTCTAGTAATCTCCTCCGATCATTAGATAAATTACAATTCAGTCTACAGGCTTCTGAACAAAGAGTTTTTTAAAGAAACTGTTGACAGATTGAAGGAATCGCCCCGTCGTCACATAGAAGTGCCTAGAAACGAGAACCTGGGAGAAAACAGGAGGATGCACAAAACGGAACTCAGCCTTCCCCCAATCTACGGGGCCACCAGGTAAGAGGCACCTGTCTACATGAAATTAATTTCTCTTTCTCTGTAATATTTATCTGTTTCATTTTATATCTTTCATCATCTTTAACCTTTGTGTCTTGAACGCAATATAGAACCATGTCTTGTTAGCGAGTTGAATGCTGCATA